AGCCCCGAGCTTGATTTTCTGCAACCAGACGGTCCCATCTCGGGGTAATAGGAGACAATGACACCTCAAGTGTGTGTTTTATGTCCAGTCTACTTCGTAATTTTGTTTGTTGTTCGCCGTTGCTGCAGAAAACCCCCGCCTCACACAGGTAGCATGTCGGAAATAGCAACAGTGCTACTGTGGCGATCTCAGAATATTCAGCCATAACTTTCATCCAGTTGTCTCGAACGTACTTTTAAGGCCGCCGTCATTTGCGATCTCCAGCAGTTTTTTTACTCATTTTGCAAGCTCTGGCGTTTTGTTTTTAGCGTAATCGGTCACGTGACGGAGAAGCGTGGCTTGACGTGTGTCAAGCGTGACACAGACGGATGTAACGGAGAATCCGGTAATTTTTCAAAATAAAACATCTTTCGTCTTCTGAAATAAATAAAACGGAATTAAGACAAGTTCTTTCTGTGCGGCCCGGTACCAAATGCCCTGCGGACCGGTACCGGTCCGTGGACCGGTGGTTGGGGACCCCTGCTCTAATGAGATGACACTTGCGTCCGCAGGTCCAACAGATCTGAGCATGAAGTCGGTGGCTCCAAACTCCTCTTCCTCCAGCTCCAATAGTCACGGGCAGGGGGGCGGCGGCGGGGGGGCTTCGGCTCAGCTCAGCCCTCCGGAAGTGACGGCGGTCAGGCAGCTCATCGCCGGCTACCGGGAGTCAGCCGCCTTCCTGCTCCGCTCGGCCGACGAACTGGAGAACCTGATTCTGCAGCAGAACTGAGCACCGGCCGGAACTCGGCCTGTATGTCCGTCCGTCCGTCCATCTCCGCGTGTAAATATGTCACCCTGACATGCAAGTCTTGACGCTGTTGGACAGAGGCACAAGCAAAGGGAAGTGGTACTGCCAAGCACAGCAGGTCCTGTAAGGTACCTTGACACATCCCACACGACTCCTTATGCATTCGCTTCCCTTTGATCTCAGTGCTCTGTCTTCTGTCGGCTCACTGCTAAGTTTCTCTCACCACCTCAACCCCATTTGTCTCAGGAAGTGATGATGTGTGGAGAAAACGAATCCAATCGTCCATCTAGTGCCGTTTTTCCCAACCTTTAATGAGCCGAAGCTCAAGAAAAATCTCTCAGAAAACCACCAGACTGAACGAACTCGTCACAGAAAGTGTTTCAAATGATGACGATCTCGTCTCAATTTACTGACAAATGTACTCAATCTGTGTGGGGGGGAAAAATGAGACCAAGATAAATCATTTCGAAACTTGTTCTTCCATGAATGTGACATAACCTTTACAACTCGGTCGGGATGTTTTTAACATCTTTGTGAAAAGCTAAGTGAAGGGAACAACTGTGACGATGAGGTTGCACAAGTGTGCACACCCTCTTTATAACTGGGCATGTGGCTGCGTTCAAAATCAACCACTCACATGTAAACTCATTTTAAAAAGGTCAGCACACAACTGCCACCTCTTATAGTGCCTCTGATTAACCCCAAATAAAGTTCAAATGCTCTAGTAGGCTTTTTATAGCATTTTTTTTTCCTGCCTGAATGTTTTGTGATCAAACTGGCTGCTTTTTTGAACTGTTCACAAGTATATATATATATATATATATATATTTATATATAATTTTATGGAGCAGTTTTGCAGTTTTTGCTCATGAATGACTTCATTTGAGCAGCACATTTCTAAATTTAAGGAGCAATTAATTTTTTTTTTTTTTTTTTTTGCATTTTAATCCCAGGGATTTGACACACTGTTTTATTAAACAGTAAAATTATGATAATAGAATAAGTGGACAGTTGTTTTTCTTTTTTTATAGAATCAACTGTTTTTAGTTCTTAAGCTGCAACAAATTATATTTTCTTGTCTAGAAACTCTTCGGTTACATTTGAATCAAGCACATTTCTGAGGTGGGGCAAACCTGAGCAAACAGACCGCCAAATCAATCAGTTAGCGGAGAGCGGATGTGACGTAAAAAAAAAAAAAAACAAAAAAAAAAAAACAAAACTTCATTTCATCGAAATGTTTTCAGTGTCGTCAGCTGCTGGAGTTTTAATGTGTTTCCGGTTACTTTTACTGCTGAAATGATGTTCACAAACTATCAGCTCTCCCACGTGCCCTTTTGAATGAGGATGGACTTCCGTTGCCCAAGAATGACGTTGGTCACGTAGTATACGTCACAGCAAATAAACAACTTTGTTTGCACGGTTCGTTTTGAATCGCGGCCGAAAGAAAAGTGGGTTCGGCTTGCCAGTCTAGCTAGTCTCTAAAAATGTCAAGAAAACCCTACTAGAACACCTGAAAATGAATTTTGCACTCACTGAGGGTATTTGAAATGGTGGCAGGTGTATGCTGACTCGAATTTAAGATGAGTTTGAATGTTGCTAAAAAAAATTTAAAAAAATTCCAACTTAATCATACCATTTATAGATCACATTAATGGTGGAAAAAGTTACGAAATTATTTCCCTTGATCTCATCTTCTTGTATATCACAAAAGCCTGGCATATCAGAGGGGCGAAGACTTTTAAAATCCACTGCAATTGTTCTGCCTATCACTATTTGTGGCTGGCATTGATAGATAAACAAAAATACAATCTTGTTGGTAAATAAATTATAATTTTTAGACCAATGAAGCGAAATGGCATAATTCCCACGGCCCAGCGGGTGATCTTTAATGGTTGGGAATCGCTGATCGTAATGAGCTGAGGACGAGTTCAATTAGTTCTCTCAGCCTGCATGTGCAGGTTACTACAGGGCGTCTCTATGTCATTGCGCTAAAATAACTCAAATAGTCTGTACGAGATTCTGAAAGATTCTACTGGGTGATCTTCAATTGTAGATGGAATAATAGCAGTGTGTTTTTAAAAAATAATCATCAATGAAGAAGGCCATGTAATAACTTTTACTTGTACTAATGTAATGGGAGCGATGCACATTCTATTCTAAATCCAAGTGGAGAAAGATTCATGAAATGAGGTGTACCGTGACAAAAAAGTGAAGATGGAGTAATATTAGGCTGTCCTGGCTCTGCATTTTCTGTCTGAACTCAAACATTGTCTGTATCAAATGAAAAAGCACATTTTGGGGGAAGAACAGTATAATCCTGTTTTGTTCGAGAGTACAAGGTTTGTTTCCAGAATAACAGGTGTGAAATTACGAGAAAAAAAAATATCCTGAAAGAAAAGTGTCCTAAACATCAAAACACATTCTCAGAACATGAAAACTTTTCTCTAAAATATATGAATCTGTTATCGCAACAACATGTTTTAAAAACTCCTATGCTCTGTAAGGGTACACTTTTTGGGAGTGTTACATTGAGGGGGTCCTTGGTAAAAATTCTCCTAAATATTTAATGACTCACTGTAAAGAAAAAAAAAATACACTTTTCATTTCATACATAAAAAATTCAGCAATTCTCAAACTTTTTACTCAAAGTACCATCTCAAAAAAATATACTTCCACACCCCCCTACACACACCAAAAAAATAGAAGCAGAGGTTTTAGTCCTTAAAAAAATATTGGGCTTAAGTTAATGTCAACTGAAAATAAAAACTGTACTGCATTTTTCCTGATTGCAAGTAAGCTATTAGCAAATTTCAAATTTTACTTTGAAAAAGAATGATCAAGAATTTTTTTTTTTTTTGGGTGTTATGGCCCACAATAGTAGTTGAAAAATCATCAATTTATGTTTGTGCATTTTACGTACCGGCAATTTGAAATAGTGTCCTATTTTTTAAATTAAAACCATGACAATTAAAAAAAGGTTTAATCGGATTCATGTATTAGTCGTAAAAATCATCAATGGATTAATAAATTATCAAAATAATCAGGAGTTGCAGGCCTAGGATTTACTCATTTGATACATTTTATTGAGAGCGTTCAACCACACTGCTGTTATTCTGCACCCAGGTGTACTGCGGACAGATTCCGTGTCAGCATGTTTCATCCAACAATTCCACTTTGTGGATGTCCATCAACAGACAAACCGCTGCTAAATTGCCTGCCACTGTTGCTGTTTGTGATGCGCTCATTCCACACGTGGGTAAATATTCCCACAGGAGAAGTCGGCTTCCTTTTCGGATGGTTTTCAACAGTTGTTCAAAGCTGTCCGCTCAAGATATTACCTCGTTGTCTTTTGTCTGAGACAAAGACTCATTTTGTGAAAATGCCGGCCTTGACATGGCGAGGAAATGAGATGATAGGAGGTCACAAACACCTGTCAGGGAAGAAAGAGATTATTCAATATATTGTTGAGCGCGATTGGAAAAAGGTGCAATATTGATGATAATCACTGAGGGTGTACTATTCATGTCGCAGGCGAAAAGGGGGAGAAATCCGCCACAATCCCAAAAGATGCCGTAATCCCATGCAGCATTGTAGCCAATTTCAATGTTGTGATGACTGATGTTGGTCATGAACCTCATCACTTTTCAAAACAAACATGACTTGCACACGTTTTTGTTTTCTTCTCCTTGTCGTCGTCGTGTTGTTGTGGAGGAATTGTTGTGTGTGTTTTGTCACACGTTGAATTGAGGTGACCCCGAACATGCATGCAAGGGGAGCGCGTGGCTCGCTCACGCCGATGGAGTGTGTGTGTGTGTGTGTGTGTGTGTGTGTGTGTGTGTGTGTGTGTGTGTGTGTGTGTGTGAGGTCAGAGGGCACACACGCAGAAAACAAAGTCTCACACTTTTGATGGTGAGTCACTCAGCACAAACACGGTTGTCAAATGTACCTTTTGTGTCTTTCTTTTTCCTGTTCAGATTTTTTATTTGTGTGTGTGTGGGGGGGGGGCATAAATGTCGTCATGGACCATTTGTGGAAAAGTGAAGTGTCCCACTTTGTACATGAATCTGTCAAGAGGTAATTCTGTCACTCAGCACATTCCAAACAAGGACAAGTGACACTCCAAGCAGCCGACTCGGCCGGCTCGCACCTTACAAGAAAAAAAAGAAAAATAATAGAGAGAAATATATGATTTTATTGACCACATTATGAGACATTCTATCAGCGCGTGTCCATTTGTCCGTGCATGCGTCCGTCACACAGTCAGTGCGCCGCGTGCTGTTTGCATTTCAACTGTCAGCTTGATGAACTATTGCAAGTTTGGAAGCACTTTATAGCTCAGGATTAAGGAAACGTAACGCGGTGATCCGCTCGTCAGCGGCTCTTTACCTCCAAGTCGTCCTCACAAGCAGTTTTGCAGCTCCACAGCGGGCCTGTAGGAGGTGCCGTATAGGCCAAAATTGACAGGCACCTCTCACATAACCAAAACAACTCTCACACAAAAAAGACACAAAAATACCTCTCATACATTCTGTCGCCGGCTCCAGACAGAGGGAGGGACTTTGAGAATTTGACATTTCAGATAATTTTTTGGTTACACAATGGAGCTTTCCATCACGTGCACAGTTTTGGAACTCATAAAGAAAAAAAGGCCTCACTTGGGAAAAAAAAGATGGAGGGTTAGTATGTGAACTTTTTACATTTGGTGCATGTGAGAGGTTATTCATTTTTTTTCCTTTGCATGAATATAAAAAAGTTGTGTGTATGTGAGAGGCTTTTGGGTGAGTCTGTGAGGCTTTTTGGGTGTTTAAGAGGTTTGTGCATTTGTGTGAGAGGTTTTCTGTTGAGGCTGAGTTTTCGGGTGAGTGTGAGAGTTTTTTGTGTATGTGCAAAAAATGTCACTTTTCATGATGTGACATCTATGTTGTGAGGTAGGAGAGGCTTTTGGTACAGTTCAGTTTTTTGTACATGAGAGGGTTTTTCGGGTGTGTTTGAGGATTTAGAATGTAGATAACTGAGTTTTTTTTTATGCGTGTGACAGTTTTTGGGAAGATTGTGCTTTTTTTTTAATCTGAAAAGTACAGTAGATCTTTGTAGTTCCAGAATGTTGGATTTGTGTGTGTGTGCGTGTGTGTGTGTGCGTGTGTGTGTGTGTGTGTGAGAGAGAGAGTTTTTTTGTGAATTTGAGTTCTTTGGACATGAGTGAGCGTGTGAGATTTTTTTTGTTGAATATGAACTTGTTCCTTTGTGTGTGAGTCATTTGATGATAGATTTTTTTGCTGTTATTGTTTTTGTTTTTTGCAATGTGAGAGGTAAATGTAATTTTGGCCCTATACATCTCCTCTGCAGGCAACCTCGCACATGTCCAGCGTCCATCGTCTCAAGCAATCGTGACGTGTGCGTCCTCGTCTCCTTTACTTGTTTGTTTGTTGTTTGTTTGTTAACTGTTGCCGCGGCGGTCACGCTCAGCGACCCTCTCAGCTGACCGTTTGCTTGCTGATGTGTAAATGGCGCAACACCGCAGTTTGTGTGATCAGCCACCATGATTTTATTTGTTGGTCTTGAAATGATGCCGACACCCAATTTTTATTGCGTGGACAACGTAATAAACTGTCGGAGTTGCTGCAACTGCCCAGGTAGCTCGTGGATTGCTCAAGTGATCACGTTCTCTACGTGTACTGTATAGCTGTACAAAGAGTGATAGAAGCTGTTTTGAACTGTTCTTTTTTTCTGTGGGTACAGCACTGTTTTAAAATGAAGACAAAAAAAAAATCTAAAGTGTTTAAGAAGCCCTTGCCTGTTTGAA